TGGGGGATCTAGGGTGACCAGATGAGAGACGTGAAATATCGGGACGAGGGGGTTCCGGCGGAGCAAAAAAAAAAAAACCCCAAGAGACGGCGGCGGAGGAAAAAACAAAAGCAAAAAAAAATAAAAAAATTAAGAGCCGCTGGAGCATAGGAAAAATTCGTGGGGGCTGCGCACCCACCGGCAGCTCCCCGCCCCGCCCCCCTGCACCAGCTCGCCTCTGCTCCGCCTCCTGCCGCGTCCTGCTTCTCCTCCCTCCCTCCAGCACTTGCGCCGCCATACAGCTGATTAGCGCAAGCATGGGAGGGATAGGGGAGGAGGAGGAATGCGGCGTGCTTGGGGAAGAGGCGGGGCCAGGGCGGGGATTTGGAGAGGGATCCAATGGGGCAGTGAGGGGGCGGGGCTGGGGGTGGGGCAAGGGCGGGAATTTGGGGAGGGATCCAATGGGGGAGGGAGGGGCCGGAGTCGGGGTGGGGCCGGGGTGGAGTTGGGGCGGGGGGGAGCGCGAGCCCCCTCCACCTGTGCGCTGGAGGGCAAAATATCGGGACACTTTGTGTCCCGACCGAACGAACATCGGTCGGGACGCAGGACAAACAAGTAAATATCGGGACAGTCCCGATAAAATCGGGACGTCTGGTCACCCTAGGGGGATCTGATACTGTGAGAGAAGTGTCTGTTCACCGCTATGCCTTCACCTTTGGAGAACACGGGAGTTTCTCTTCTTTGTAGGGGGTCTTTGCTGTGAGGCAGCCCTGACCCTTAACCTTTGGGTCCCTTTTGTGTCTTCAAGCGCCCGTACCTCCAGTGACCAATTTCCGGGTCGTAGAAGAAGGACTCTCTAGCCTCAAGGTAGCCTGGACTCCTCCCCTGGGGAAGCTTGAAGGCTACAAGATCTACATGCCCAGATGTAAGTTGTGATCTGCTAGGTTTTCACACCAGCGTCAGGTATTTTCATGGAAGTCCTGATGCTTGGGAAAAGCAACGTCCCCACTTCCGGAGCTCTGTCCTCTAAGGCCCAGCCCTGGTATCACAATGCAGTGGGGATCCCATGGCATCGCTGATGTGTCTGTGTCACCCTGGGGCGACGAGGCGTTGGCCTCCCCTGGTGAGTTTGGCGTCTCTTGTAGAAAGCAGGGTAGTCCCACCAAGGCAGGGGCTTCCCTTTGCAAACCCAGACGGTACAATTCTGGGGCTGCCCCGCATCTAATTCTCTGACGCTGACAGTAGACTGGCAAATATGCCGCGCTCCTCTGTTCACAGGTGTCACTCACCAGGGTGTCCTATTTGGTTCTGGCCCCTACAGCAAACAGACCTGGGATGACCTATGAGCAGATTCTGGGCGGCGACGTCACCTCTCACGTGCTTGGCAACTTGCAGGAGGATAAAGAATATACTGTCAGTATCTATGCTGTGTTCCGCCAGGGCCCGAGCCAACCGGTGTCCACTACGGGGAGAACATGTAAGAGGTTTGATTGCTGAGGTGGCATTCTTAACTGCACTGGAAATCGGGCTCACGCCTGCTCTCCTTTGCACGCTTGCTCCTGCTCTGATGCTTGCCCCTGTGCACATGTATGCTTTTCTTTGCACGTTTGTTGTCATGCCTGTCCCCGTGCATATGTATGCTTTTCTTTGCTCGCTTATGCTGCTGTCATGCCTGTCTCTGTGCACACGTATGGTCTTCTTTGCACGCTCGCTTCTGCTCTCACGCCTGCCCCTCTGCTTAGGCATGCTCACACATGCTCATACACACTCTACGCCTATTCTTGCTCTCTCTGGCACACTCAGACCTGCTCTTCCAGTCATCCCAGTGCCCCTGCATGCTCCCCCCTGCTCCCACCCCCCATTCTTGCTCACATTCCCCGACACGCTCACGCGGGAGATTGCTCTCAACCGTTCAGCCTCCGTTCCAACCCATTCCATTTAATAAAGGCTCAGTCAGACTCTCCTCTCACTGTCTGAAGTCAAGGGAAGTGGCAGGTGTTTGACATTTTTGATGTCCAGCACTGGTTTAGCTGCCTTCATATGGACTTAGGAGCCTAACTTTAGGAACTGTTTTTTTAAAACTCTAGGCCATCGGGGTTACTTGAACCATCCCCTCCACTCCTCAGCAGTGACCTATTCTTGATGTTTCAGAGAAAGCCCCACCCCCTTCACTCCTTATAACTCCAAGCCCATCCTCAGAGCTAGGTGGGAAATGGTTTTCCCAGCCTGGGAAATGTTTTGAGATTTCTAAAATGTTTCCTGTCCCAAATCACTACATAAGGGGCTCGGCATGTCTGGTCTGAGGCCAGGGTCTAGAAGAGGGAAGCTAGCCCCGCCACAGCCTGTGCTGTGGAGAAAGAGGACTGCTCTGCTGACAACGTTCACTATAGCTAGTTGCTGTCTGGGCTGCGTGGCCCCGCCCTTCATCTGAGGGGGCAGGTCTATTGTTCATTTAGGCTCCACCCACCCACCCAGACTTCACATTTCACGAGCACTCAATTACATTGTTCCGGATCTTCCATTTCATGGAAGTCGTTGGGATTTATGCAGAGATTTACCCCCGCTGAGAGTCTGGCCTAGTGTTTAAAACAAGCAGCCTTCCCCTCTGCCCCCTCCCTTCATTTATCCACTCACCCTGTGTGCCTTGCTCTCTCTTTAAGCCCGGGCCTGCCCCCTGCCTGCAGATCTGTTGGCATCCCAGCACTCGGTGTAAATCAAACCAGATTGGCGCATCAGCGGTGTGGGCTAGAAAAAGCGACCGTGACAGCTCCAGCAGCTGGCGTGGCTGCAGCTTGGGCTCAGAGTGGCTGTTCCTGATGAGTGGACTACAGCCTTTTCCTAGATGCATTAAAACCGACAGGCTATGAGGGGACTCTTCGAAATCTCTCTCCCCGCTGGCTAATGTAGGCGGGAGGCAGCATGGGCTGTAATGTAGCTTCTCTGAAATGTCTCTTCCCTTTAACCCTTCCAGTGAAGCGCCTGCCAGTGAAAAGCATCTTGCTCCAGAATGAGACGACTGACACCATCCAGGCCAGGTGGACCTCAGTTAGGGGAGCATCAGGATACAGGCTCACCTGGGTGTCGGCAGGTACAGTCCCCAGGAACCAGAGGAGCGTGTTATTTTCATGATGCTCTGTTAGCAGCCTGCATCATTATTGGATCTGCTTTTGCTCTTGTCATCACCCCTGGGTGCAGGTTCCCACCCACGCTTCCCACAACGCAGCTTGGGATTAGAGACAGACCTGGTCAAAATCCTGACCCTAAACACCTGGGATCTGAATCCAGATCCAGATCTGAGTTTTGCACAGGGGTCTTTTCTCTGACCCTTGATTCAAACACCCTTTATGCTGTTCTTAGGGGGAGAAGTGTTAGAAATCCAGATTTTCTTATTTTATTTTTGTCCCGCAGGAAGGATGGTTTGGTGGTTAAAACAAAAAACAGGGAGTCAGGACACTTGCGTTCTCTTCCTGCCCTGTGACCGACTTCCCGGGTTGACCTAGGGCAAGTAACTTCTCCTCCGGGTGCCTCAACTTCCCTAGTTGTAAAATAGGGATAACACCACCATACAGGGGTGATTTAGTTGGGGATTGGCCCTGCTTTGAGCAGGAGGTTGGACTAGATGACCTCCTGAGGTCCCTTCCAACCCTGATATTCTATGATTCATTCAATGGTATCTCTGAAGCAATTTGAGATCCCCAGGTAGGAAGGTGCTTTAGGGCAGTGGTTCTCAACCAGGGGTCCGGGGCCCCTTGGGGGGCCACGAGCAGGTTTCAGGGGAGCTGCCAAGCAGGGCTGGCATTAGCCTCGCTGGGGCCCAGGGCAGAAAGCCGAAGCCCCATTGCATGGGGCTGAAGACCGGGGCCTTGAGCCCTGCCAGCCGGGGCTGAAGTCGAAGCTGGAGCAACCTAGCTTTGCGGGGACCCCTGTCACATGGAGCCCCAGGCAATTGCCCTGCTTGCTACCCCCTAACACCAGACCTGGCTTTTATATGCAGAAAACCAGTTATTGTGGCACAGGTGGGCCGTGGAGCTTTTATAGCATGTTGGGGGGCCTCAGAAAGAAAAAGGTTGAGAACCCCTGTTCTAGGGGAGGGTAAAGTAGCACCATTCCTGCTACTGTGTAATAAACTAGTAATGAATGGATTTCCAAAGTGCGAATAAACACCCCAAATTGCAGAGATTTAGCCAGTCCTCTCGTTTGGGTTTGGATCATTTGGCTGGAAATCAGGAGAGCAGGCACTTGTGGGTCAGGGATGGTCTTTTTTGTTCTGCGTTTGTACAGTGCCAAGGACTATGGGGCTCAGACCCATGGCTGGGAATACAAATAATAATCATTTCTTTTCCTTCTGGACTTGTTCCTTAAGAACAGGCTCTTGCGTGGTACTTCAGCCCCCCCAGAAATGCAGCAAAAGGTGTGTGCGTCTGTGTCTCTGTGTGTATTCCTGAGTTTCTTTAAATCTCAGGACTCCTGGGTCCTATTCCTGCTGATGCACTATGCGACCGTGGGCAAGTTACTTTACCTCTCAGTGCCTCCTTTTCCCCATTCGACAACTGGGGGGAAGGCTAGATGAACTGGCCAATGTATATGTGTCACTACTGCCCTCTGCTGGACGGAGTCAGAAAAGTTCTACTGTGTGTCATAGGCGCTGCATCGCGTTCCTAGCTAGAGGGCTATTTGTGTGTGTGTGTGCGTCCATCGTATCCATTGTCCGTAATCAAATCCAACCCCCGCAAATTTTCCTGACACACAACTTTGTGGCGGACCCCCAGAAGGGAACGGGAGCATTGGGCGTTGTCGTCGTAACTCATACACATTCGCCCCTTTGGGGATTAATACAACAGGGGTCGTTTTCCCACCCTGCTTGTAGAACGCTGGTGTGAGGGATAATTCTACACTGCAGTGTTCATCCCAGGGAACGTGTTTCCCTGGACCGGGCTGATTGTTCTTTCCCATTTTCCAAGACAGAGAATAGATTAAAATAGCTGCTCATGTGGAGGGTGTGTTGGTGGAGCAAGGATACCACTGGCACAGACAGGAAAATGAGGAGATGGCACCCTCTAGTGGCTGAACTAAGAATAGCCACCGTTGGCTTTACGCATGCAAGAAGAATGAATGACGCAGTAACTTTTAAGAGTCATGGAAATGTGAGATTTGCCTATCTCCTTCCAGCTAAGACAGGATTGTCCCCTGCAGATCAAATAGCGTTTTAGGCTGAGCATGCTTTGCGTTTTGTGATATTCCCTGGAGGAGAGGAGCTGACCCTGTCCCATCCTTCCCAGAGCTCCACAGATATTCCCAGCCCTGCTCTGTCCCCCCAACCTCAACTTCCTGCCTTGGGGTAGCCATCCGTCGTCCAGCCAAGTGAGATGGCAGAGGACTCCCTTGAGAGCCCGTGAACAGCACTGCCCCCAGCTGGGCCCCTTTCGAAGCAGACAGGCTTCCCCCCTTCTTCCAACAGGAGTGAAGCCTGTTACCTGCCCAATCACATGCAGCTGTTTGTACTTTGCTGGTTTGGTTCATTCTCCTTGTGCCATTGGGGCACCCTAATGACTGACTGGCCCCCGGGAAGTTTGGGGGGGGAACAAAGCTGCCATATGTCATTGTTGTTATTTAACGTGATTTTAGTCAATAGGTCAATAACGTGCCATCGCTGGTAATTAGTAACAATGGTCAATGATGGGATATTAAAAGTTACTACAGAGAACTTTTTTCCGGATGGTCTGGCTGGAGAATCTTGCTCGCATGCTCGGGGTTCAGCTGATCGCCATATTTGGGGTCGGGAAGGAATTTTCCTCCAGGGTAGATTGGCAGAGGCCCTGGAGGTTTTTCGCCTTCCTCCGCAGCATGGGGCAGGGGTCGCTTGCTGGAGGATTCTCTGCGACTTGAAGTCTTTAAATTATGATTTGGGGACTTCAACAGGCGAGTCAAGGGAGAAAATTATTCCAAGAGTGGGTGGGTCAGCTTTTGTGGCCTGCATCATGCAGGAGGTCAGACTAGATGATCATAATGGTCCCTTCTGACCTTAAAGTCTATGAGTCTATGTTTACAGTAGAGCCTCTAAGCCCCAAGCGAGATCAGGGCCCCATTATGACAGGACCTGGACATTCAGCCCCTGCCCTGAAGAGCTGACAATCTACATGCATGAGACAGAGAAAAGAAATATGATCATCTCCATGTTATAGTTGGGGAAACTGAGGCACAGAGCAACTGGCCTGCCCAGCCAGTGTAGAGCTGGGGGGAGAAATCTGCACCCCACCCCAATCCTAAGGGGCAGGACCCAGGGAGGCTGTAGCAGGGGCCGGAATTGAACCTAGAACCTGAGTCCCCATCTCGGGCCTTCACCACAAGACCAGCCTTCCTCTTCTTTCTTTCCTACCTGAGCTGAACACGTGTTAGGGTGACCACCGATGGGTCTGACTGTTGGTCGGTGTGAGGCATTTAATTGGTGGTGTCCTGCATGCTGTATTCTGGGGGGGCGTGGGAAAGGAAGGGGGGAACCAGTCACAGGTGAGTGTCCCTCGAGAGCTAGACCTGGGCGTATCCAGCTGTTGTCTCCTCTCCGGCGCAGAGGGCAGTGTTGAGACCGTGAACCTGGACGACACTTGTACTGACTACATGATCCCGGGGCTGCAGCCTGGGCTGGAATACACCATCACCGTCAACCCCATCTTTGGGGACATGGAGGGGCCCGTGGTGAGCAGCAAGGCAACCACTCGTAAGTGTCCTGGGGTGGGCCAGCGGGAGGGGAAAGGCCTGGGAGGGCAAGTGGATGCGATCATTCAGTTCAGGTAGGCGAGACCTCGGGCATAGAAAGAAGAGGGACTGGGGGTAGGTGGGCAGCGAAGGAGGGAGTCAAAGGGGCTGAACGGGCGGCTGGGGACATGGGGGTGGGAGAAGCCTAGTAGCGCTGCTGCCCAGGAAGATAGTCGAAGGACACGTATGGGGAAGGAAGCCTATGGAGTCACAGGACTCCCTCTGGGGATGCCTGGCCTCGTTTCCAGAGCAGGGGATGGGGAGCCAGGAAATGTGGGGTCTAGCTCTGCCGCTGACTTGCTGGTGAACGGGGGGCAAGTCATTTTGCCTCTCTGTGCCTCAGTTTCCCTATCAGGAATACTGGGGGTGATGTTAGTTATCTTCCTTTATGGAGTGCTGTGGTGGTGCTCAGATGCCACGGTGATGGGTGGCAGTGTAAACCTCTAAAATAGATGATCAGCCAGGCTGATCCCTGTGTTGCCTGTACCCAGGTTGGCTCGCAGGTCTTCCAGTCACACACAGCCACCTCCTAGCCAGTATCACCCATGGCTGACAACCTCCCTCTGGTCTCAGATGCATAGAGCAGCCTGGTGCATTGTGGTTTTCCTTAGGTTCCTTAGGACCTGATCCAAGTCCCCCTGAATTCAATGGGAGACTTTCCACTGCTATTGCATCCGTCAGACCCATAACCCGTTCCGCTTACCCACGCTACTCGGCTCTCTTTCTTAAAGTGGCATCGAGCGCTGTGCAGACCCTGAAAGTGTCCGACGTAACAATCAACTCTGCCCTGCTGTCCTGGAATTCAGTGGCTGGGGCCACTGGGTACAGAGTGGCTTGGGGCCCTACTCCAGGTAAGCTAGCGTTTATTGAGCCCGTAGCGCGGACAGCCCCCCTCCACCCAGCATTTAATGCAGCGCCAAAGCTGGAACAGCGAGCACATAAAACCAGGGAATGGCAGACGTCGAGGCAGCTCCGGCACTGGTCACTTGCCTACGTTGCACAACCCTAGGGTTGCTAACTTTCGAATGTCACAAAACCAAACACCCTAGCCCCACCCCTTCCCCAAGCCCCTCCCCTGCCACTCACTACATTCCCCCTCCCTCGGTGGCTCGGTCTCCCCCACCCTTACCCACTTTCACTCGGTTGGGGCAGGGGCTTGGGGTGTGTGAGAGGGTGAGGGCTCCGCCTGGGGGGTGCGGGCTCTGGTGTGGGGCTGGGGCTGAGGGATTCAGAGTGCAGGAGGGGGCTGCGGGTTGAGGCAGGGGGTTGGAGTACAGGAGGGGGTGAGGGCTCTGGGCTGGGGCTTGGGATGAGGGCTTTGGGGTGCAGGAGGGGGCTCCAGGTTCGGGGGGTCTCAGGGCTGGGGCTCGGGGTTGGGGCACGGGCTTACCTCGGGCGGCTCTGGGTCAGCGGCGCTAAGGCAGGCTGCCTGCCTGTCCTGACACCGCCTTGCGCATGCCCCGGACGTGGCCAGCTGGTCCGACACTAGTAGGCGGGGGAGGGGGCAGGCTCCGCGCGCTGCTCTCATCCGCCAATGGAAGTGCGTGGCCATTTGCTCGGGGCAGGGGCAGTGCGAGGAACCCTGTAGCCCCCCCCATGCCTAGAACCCGGACCTGCTGGCCGCTTCCGGGGGGCAGCACAGTACCAGGACAGGCAGGGGCTAGCCTGCCTTAGACGCGCAGCACCGTCGACCGGACCTTTAACGGCCCGGTCGGTGGTGCCTACCGGAGCCACCATGGTCCCTTTTCGACCAAGTGTTCTGGTCGAAAACCAGACACCTGGTCACCCTACGACAACCCACATGCATCGGGGCAGGGAGCTCGTTTCACTGCCGGTCCTTTGGGCCCAATTCTCAGTTCCATTAAGGGCCCATTTGGCTGCTCTGGCAGCAGAAAAGCTGTACAAAAGTGTTTTGATTCCCTTGCTGATGTTTTGTAAAGGTACCTTCAGCAAGAGCAAAAAAACCAAAGCGTTTGATTCTGCAAAGGCAGCGTGGTCTAACCCATTCGGTCCGGGCTTTCCTCTTGCTTCCTGGAGGCTGGATTGGTAGAAATCCAGGTCTTTGAACGTCTCTGGCCTGCGTTATACAGGAGGACGGATTAGATTGTCAGAGTGACCCTTTCTGGCCTTAATATCTATTAACTTTACTCGCCGGCTCCCAGTCTTCCTCCCGCCTGCTCCACCTGCCAACATTGTTTACTCTTCGGCTTCTCTTTCTTCCCGCCAAAAGAATTCTTCCACAAAGACCGACCACGGCAGCTGGCTCTGAACAGCTCCACCACAGCCTACCAGCTCCGAAACCTGGCCCACGACAGCGAGTATGTGATTTCCCTCTATGTGCTCTTTGGCTCGGCAGAGGGGCCTGGAATCACCGCTTCAGCCAGGACGTGTGAGTATACGCATGGTGCGGAAGTGGTGCCTCTCCTTGCCCGGGGAGCTCAGGTGCCCGGTACATACTGACAATACAGAGAGCACCAAAGGGCACTGGAGACGCAAGTTTAACCTCTTGTGATCCGAGCCTTTCACTCCAAAGCGTTATACAAACTAGCTGTACCCCTGCCTCTGGAATGCAGCCACCTCTGGGGTAGAACATGACAACTTTAACACCACAGAGCAGCAATACACCACAGTCTGGGACACAAACAGAGGAAAAATACTATAGCTAACTGAAATGTAGGGACAATTGACAGAACATGCCAGTGTTGGAATTTGACTCTGGGGTAACACCCATTCTCTTGTGAAAAGAGCAATGGATCAAGTATGGCCAGGACTTTTGTTTTATATTTCTTCCAAAAGGCAACACCACATCCAGCAGTACAGAGCCTCTTAATGCCCTGGCGGGGCATTGGGCTCAGTACCTTGCCAGCTACTGAGTCACCAGTAATACTCCCTGCAGTAACCCAGACTTCCTTTGGCTGTCTCCCAGCCAGCTTCTGACCCACTTAATCCGACGAAGCTTGTGTGTCTCAGCGGTGTTCCAGTGAAGGCAATGGAGCTACGCTGATTTACACCAGCTGAGGATCTGGCCCATGATTTCACAAGAAGGATATCAGCGGGACTGTATCCCTGGCTGACCTACAGCAGCGCAAAGATAAGATCGCCACCATGTCCTTTGAAAGTCACTGTTCCCTAAAAGTCACTCCCCCCGGCGCTGTTAGCAGTGAGAACCCTGAGAGGCGCTGGCATTTACTGAGCACATTCCTAATCAAGACATCAGCTAACGTCACTTTCCCCTGGCAGCGCCGCTTGGCTACATGTCCAATTTCAAGGTAACTTCCTACACGAGCACATCCATCTCCCTTGCATGGAGTGCCGCAGCTGCAGCCACCGGATACCGAATCTCCTGGAGCCCAGAGGGAGCGGGCAGAGGTGAGTGCAGATCGGGCGCCGTGATTTGCTTTTGTTTGATGTGTGTAGAGGACGTTCAAACAAGCTGGCGATGCAGGGTGTCTGCCCCCATGGAATATTGCCTGGCCACAGGAGATTGCTTTATTCTAGTTCTCTGGGCCTGCACGGCCGATATCTGCAGAGCTAATGCTCTGAATTTCTGGTGATGGGTGTGAAAAAGCAGCCTGTGCCAGGCTGTGTGTGTTACTGCCAGAAGGGTTTGAACCTTCAACCCTCAGTGCTAAAAACATGAGCATCCACCAGCTGATCTGAAGGACAGAGACCTCTAGGGTTTAGCTATAGCTCAGGGGTTCTCAAAATGAGGGTCTGGACCCCTCAGGGGGTCACGATGTTATTACATGGGGGGTCGCAAGCTGTCAGCCTCCATCCCAAACCCCGCTTTGCCGCCAGCATTTATAATGGTGTTAAATATATTAAAAAGTGTTTTTAATTTATAAGGGGGGTCGCACTCAGAGGCTTGCTATGTGAAAGGGGTCACCAGTACAAAAGTTTGAGAATCACTGCTACAGCTGACTCATTAATCTCATGCGTGGACCAGCCACTAGAGGGGGACAAAGATCCACATGCGCCAAATGTAGTTTACATGAGCTCCCCCTTGTGGCCACCAGAGTAGCTGTGATTTGTGAATATGTCAGGGATTGCGGTCTTGTCTTAATTGGTTTGGGAAATCTTTGGGCCATCGTCTCTTACTCTATTCGTAGAGGAATCAAGTGTTGTCCTCGAGGAATCCCATTCATTCCAGGGGGTGTTCCCCAGTGGAGATTTTGGTGGGTTTCCAGACTATTTATGCCACTGATGACTTCTGGGCCTGTTGCCAGTCCAAGGCCAAGGGGGATGTGGCTACAGGGTACGAGGGCTAGCTGTCGGGAAACCTTTCCTCATTCAGCCTCCATTTGCCTTTGTTCAGTTGAATCCCTACCCTCCTACTTCTCATCCCTGGTGCTTCTCTAAATGACTCGCTTCCCCCCACAACTTTGTGTTTACCCCCTTCCCCAGAGAGCCTCGGAAATAACACTACTGGGAGGAAAAGTGGTACCCTTTGGAGAAGATCCACTGTTCTTGGTGAATTATATGCACTGTGGTGTCCTTGTCCTTTCAGGAAGAGGAGTTGCCAAGAGCCAGTACCTGGGCAGCAAGGGGCTTGCTTATCACATTGAGCATTTGCTGCCTAATACCCACTATACACTTGGTGTTCGCGCTATGTTCAACAAGTCCGAGGGACCAGAAGTGACTCTCACTCACCGTACTGGTGAGTTCTGCTGTAATGACCCTGTCTTGCATGGGACAGCATGGTTGGAACCTACCACCTTCAGCAGAGACCTTTGCCACTTGAACTAAAGGAGCAGCCCTGTTAACTTGCAGCAGTAGAAGACTGTTATCCTTGAGCGGGATGCAACACACATTCTGCCAGTGTGTTATGCTATCCCTGCCTAAATAGGCAGGGCTGGATTTAGGCCTTTGGGAACACTCAGTAACATTATACATGGGGACCCAAATCTTTCGGTCTCTCTCTCTTGTCCAGCTCAGTTCAGCAGCAGGCCCTGTTGTTCCTTGTGGGATCTGGAAAAGCCCTGCAAATTGCCCCTCCTTCCTTTATGGCAGACGTCACGTGTTTCCAAGGCTCCTTTGTGTGTGAGTGAGAATGCCCCTAGAGCGTGCAGGGCTGAAGACCTGCTGTGTTTGGAACAACTGGATTTTGAAACCCATGGGTAATATTTTGAGGCTGGTGTATAGCAAAACCTCATTATAATGTTCTCTAGCCTTTCTTCTTTTTGAACCCAATGGGGGAACTCCCTGTAGAAAAGTTGGTCTGTTGATAAGGCATTAAGTGAGATATGCCCAGAGGGTGTATACCTGCTGCTTCTGGTGAGGATCATGTGAGATCAGGGATATAGCCCTGGGCGTACCATGGGCTAGACTCTGATACTCTGACTCACAGTGAGTAGCACCTTTCTCCAGGCATAGAACCACTGACCTCAGCAGGTTTAGTCATGGAGTGGGGTGTCATTCAGTGGCCGGAAAGATATCGGAATCTGACTCTTATCTCCATATTTCATTCATTTTTGCAGCCTCGCTCGCAGACTCAAGCCCTATCCAGACCGTCCGGGATTTGCGGATCGTTGACATTGGAGTAAACAGCTTGAAGGTCTCCTGGAAAAGGACCCCGGGCGTAACGCACTATAAGATATCCTGGGTCCCGTTCAGTGGTAGGCATCCTACTCCATCGGCCATATAAAGTCTAGTGAGAGAGCGCCGGGGGTCCCTGGTACTCTGGAGGTAGCTCTCAGCTCAGTGTTCCCGTGCCTCTTCTCACAGGTGCTCGAGGACAGACTATAAACTGGCAGAGTGGGGTCAATGCTTCTAGGAAACTTGGGGTCCACACCCAGGCTCGTAAGAGTGGGCTGAACGCCTGGCATGGGGCATAGATTCATAGATTCATAGATTCATAGATTCTAGGACTGGAAGGGACCTCGAGAGGTCATCGAGTCCAGTCCCCTGCCCGCATGGCAGGACCAAATACTGTCTAGACCATCCCTGATAGACATTTATCTAACCTACTCTTAAATAGAGCATCTTTTGTTCTTCTCTTGTGCTCGTGGTAACTTGGTTTTATAACCATGGTCCCTGGAGGAAAAGCTCCTCCTGGCTGCACCTGGCTTTTTGGCTTCTGCTCAGTTATTCCACCAGCTCACAAGTATGTTTGTGTGTTGCTGGATGGGAGGGCGTCCTGGGCCTGGATGGGTGTTTTCAACCATGGAAGGGGCCCGAAAAGGATTCTGCCCTTTCTCCCTTTCACTGCTGCTTGGCATAGGCTTTAGAGGATAGGATTAATATTAAAAATGATCTGGACAAACTGGAGAAATGGTCTGAAGTAAATAGGATGAAATTCAATAAGGACAAATGCAAAGTCCTCCACTTAGGAAGGAACAATCAGTTGCAGACATACAAAATGGGAAATGACTGCCTAGGAAAGAGTACTGCGGAAAGGGATCTGGGTGCCTCTCAATGACTCGTGTCATAGTGGATCACAGCTAAATATGAGTCAACATTGTAACACTGTTGCAAAAGAACCCCCAAACCCTCCATTCTGGGATGTATTAGCAGGAGTGTTGTAAGCAAGACAGAAGCAGTAATTCTTCCGCTCTACTCCCCACTGATTAGGCCTCAACTGGAGTATTGTGTGCAGTTCTGGGTGCCACATTTCAGAAAATATGTAGACAAATTGGAGAAAGTCCAGAGATTAAACGATTAAAGGTCTAGAAAACATGCCCTGTCAGGGAAGATTGAAAACATTGGGTTTGTTTAGTCTGGAGAAGAGAAGACTGAGAGGGGACATGATAACAGTTTTCAAGTACATAAAAGGTTGTTACAAGGAGGAGGGAGAAAAATTGTTCTCCTTAACCTCTGAGAATAGGGCAAGAAGCAATGGGCTTAAATTGCAGCCAGGGAGGTTTAGGTTGGACATTAGGAAAAACTTTCTAACTGTCAGGGTGGCCAAGCACCGGAATAAATTGCCTAGGGAGGTTGTGGACTCTCCATCACTGGAGATGTTTAAGAGCAGGTTAGACAAACACCTGTTAGGGATGATCTAGATAATACTTAGTCCTGCCATGAGTGCAGGGGACTGGACTAGATGACCCCTCAAAGTCCCTTCCAGTCCTATGATTCTATAATCCAGGCTGCAAGCCCAGTGGATGCTCAGGAGGCTGCATGTCTGCAAAGCACAATCCCTGGAGCGTGATGGTCAGTCCTTCTGGCTGGGAGGAGCCAGCCATGGCTAGCTCCAGAGTACGTCACCCTTGCTCCTGAGACAGCCATGGCATCAGGGAGAGACATAAGGTATTTCTCCCTCTCTTTGCAATCTAGTCTTGCCAGATGGGAGGAGTGAGAGCTCCCGGTTCTGCACCCAACCTCCTCAGCTCTCCTCAGCACACCCTCCTGGTCCCAGTCCAGTCTACACACCTCCACCATCAATCAATGAGTGGCCAAACAGGCCATAGGAGTAGCTCCCTGGACCATCCCATCTCTCCTGGCAGCCTCTCCAGGGTCTATCTCCCATTCTGAGGGTATGTCTACACTGCAGTCACGGAGCATAATTGCTGCTTGTGTAGACATGCCTGTGTTTAATCCAGATCAAGCACCAGAACAGTGAAGCCATGTCAGAGCCCATTAGCTATGCCAGGAATTTCCTAGTGTTCTTGATGGGCTGATAGAGCCTGCACTAAACCATGCGCTGCCACAGCTTCACTGCTCTGGTACTGGAGCTAGCTAGATTAAATCTAGCTTGGAATGTCTATGATACACCCTTGGCGGGGCTGGCAGGTGGGAGACCTCCATTATCTGCTGCTTCAAGCTTTCTTCTGAGCTGCTGTTTTGCACAAGTTGCATTTCCTGGCATGCAGGAGGTGAGTGCAGGAGAAAAAACTTTGCAGACCCAATTCTAGATCCTTTTCGTTGCATTTTTCCAAACTATGATTGAAATGTTCTGTGTCACCAAGTACGAGCTTTATGGAATGAACGTCTGGCCTCTTCAAAGACCCATCTTGGGATTTATTTAAGCAATTGTTCTAAAAACGTACAAAGGAATGAACTTCTGCAAATGCCTCGTTTTTAAACATAGAAGATGATCAATGACATTTTGGGGTTAAAATTGCCATGAAAAGTTTCAGGACACGATTTTTCATAAAAAGTTCCCAATCTAGGAAAAAGGGAATTTTTTTGATGCAAAAAATGGCTATCTTTTTTTTTTCCCCATGAAAGCCCAACTTTCTGATTTCTTAGGAGCCTCCCGACTCTTGACAATTTTGCGCAGCGTTGAAAATAACTCAACCTCCACATTAAACAGGAAGAGCCTTAAGGCTGGGTTATTGATGGGTTTCTCTCTTTACCAGCTAGTACACCCACATATTGGTAAGGAGGGGCAAACTAAGGGGGTATGGGAAAAGCACAGCTGCCCCCTGTCTGCTAACAAGAGAACTCCCGCATTGCCCCTTGACTTGGACCAGCTCTGTCCTTATTCTTTGGCTGGGTGGTCCAATAGATAGAGCATTACACTGGGAGCCGTGAGTCCTGGTTCTATTCCCAGCTGTCCCACTGATGCATTATGTGACCTTGTGCAAATCACTTAAGTTCCCTCTGCCTCAGCTTCTCCAGCTGTAAAATGAGGATAATAACACTCCTTCTCCTTTACCAAGTGTTTTGAGATCTATGGATGAAAAGGACTGTAAAGATCATGCTCGCTACAGGAAGCATTATGACTTTCTCCTGTCATTATCACAAACTCTTCTGTTTTTTTATTGTTGTTATTAATTAGGTGGCTTGGAAACCTCACAGATCGTTCCAGCAGAGATCATATTTTTCACAATTATTAAGCTGCAGGAGAGCACTACGTACACCATCCGTGTGTCTTCAATGATCCGGGAACGGGAGGGAAGCCCAGTGCTTCTGACTGCCAAAACACGTGAGTACCTAGGAGACATGGGCAGACACCACTATATAATGTCACCACTGCAACTGGGAAGTAGATCTGTTCAGGCTGACACTTCTGTGCTCATCTCAAAGTATCAAGAGTTTGGGATCAATTCGGAGAAACAACCTAAAGCGTAGGGATCATATGCTACAGCTGAATCTAAAGTATCTACAACCTAAAGCGTAGGGATCATATGCTACAGCTGAATCTAAAGTATCTACAACCTAAAGCGTAGGGATCATATGCTACAGTAAATCAGCATAGCGCCATTGGTTTTGGTACAGCTACATTGATCTCCACGAGCTAAGGATCTGGCCCAAGATGCTTACTTGGATTTATGGAGTACCATGCTGTTGGAATCATTCCCTCGCTCTGTTCCTATATACGCTGCTAGTGAGGCAGGCTGAATGTCAGTATCGCAGCTGGCCCGTGGGTAGGATCCTGGAGCTGATAACCAGCTGGCAGGAATTTCCCACCCACGTGTGGCCTGGCACAATTGGCCAGGTGCAGTCTGGATAGTTTGGATCTTCCTCTGAAGTATTTAGCAGAGGCCATGCCAGAGACAAGATACCAAACTCAACAGGCCAGCCATCTGTTTCATTTCTGTAATGACTATCTGGAATTTTTGCCATTGATTTCAATGGGTCCAGGATTCCACCCTTGTATAGTGTGTGTGTCTGTTTCCTTCTGGCCCGGTGAAATTCAGTAGATTCTCCCTCTCGAGCTCTTTTGTCTCATGCCATCGATTTAAGCGTTTACACAGCAGCAAACAATCATTGTTTCTTTTCTCTTTCTTTTTAAATAGTGGGTTTGCCCAAAGTGACTCAGTTTGCAGTTCAGGAGAGCACGGAAAACAGCGTTTTGTTGAGCTGGACGGGTGTTCCGGGGGCATCAGCATATTTATTAACATGGCGCCTGGCATCAGGTAACGGCTCTTCGGTGTCATTGATGAATGGCTGTGGGTAAGGAGAGCTAATGTAAGGAAAGAAGAAGAGAATGTGAGGTGGGGAGAGTGGTAGAGGGTTAGAAAGATCCTGGGAAGGGCCATATTGCCACAATATCACATCTTCACTATTCTTTGGTTCCCCTTGCTCGGCCAGTTATTAGTTCACGACAACATAGGAATTGCCAGACCAGATCCGCCCTAAGGTCCATTTAATCCAGTGTCCTGTCTCTGACAGTGGCAAGAGTGCTCCAGAGGAAGGTGCATGGAACCCCATCATGGATTAAACCATCTTCAGAGGAAGTGTCTTCCTAACCCGGACAATCAGTGGCTGGATTATGCGCTGAAGCATCGAGATTTATATCCCTGATCTTTTTCTAATCCAATTTAATGCCACTGTGGATGTTCTCATTATCCATATAAATGCCTGATCCTTCTTTTGAATCCTGCTAAGCTCTTTCCCTCTTACATCATTCATTTCCCTCCGAGAAATAAGAATCTTGTCTGGTAGTGAGAGCAGAGGACTGAGACTCTGGACTCTCCCCACAATGCCACTCTTCCTGTGTGACCTTGGATGAGTCATCTCTGGGCCTCAGTTTCCTAATAAATACTGGGAGTGATGATGCCTACCCTACAAGGGTGTTGAGAGACTTAACTGGTCTAAAATTTGTACAGTGCATTGAGATCCTTATGTGGAAGGTGCTCTGGAGATGAGAGTTTCTGAGTACCCACATCTCCCACTCCCGTCAGTGCTCAAGCAGTTTTCCCTCTAGTTTTTTCCATCCATGTGCAGAATGAATTTTCTGTGCACCATATTGAGATAATGTGGGCATGTGCACCAAAACCAAAAACCTAGATACAATATATAGTTTAAAAAAGTTACCATAGGGATAATTACTCCAGCCAGGACAGATTAGGCATTTTAGGACTCACTACCCAAAGAATTAAATTTAAGCATAAGAGAGAAATAAAAATTATGAAATGCACAGACCAGTCAAAAAACTGAAATAACACACTTTGAAAGAAGTATTGAGAAGTAACAACAACAATAGTACAAGTATGTGTTGGGAGGTGAGTGTGAAAGACAGAGTGTGTGAGTGAGACAGAGACACACACACTCTGTGTGTGTGTGTGTGTGTGTGTGTGTGTGTGAGAGAGAGACGAATTGCGCATCTTAGAGGGAATTTAGGTGCTCAGCACCTCTTTCAGTTTTGCCTTCTTTCAGTAGTTTTCTCGAAGGCAACGGCTTTCAATCTTTTTTCATTTGTGGACCCCTAAAAATTTTTGAAGGGAGGTGTGGACCCCTTTGGAAATCTTAGATATAGTCTGCGGATCCTCAGGGGTCTGCGGACCACAGGTTGAAAACTACCGCTCTAAGGACTCTACTAGGTTTGAAAGGCATGATTTCCCTTTACGGAAAAGTCACTGTGGTGTGATCCTAGCAAGTTGTCATCCAAATGCTGCAATATTCTGGCCTTGGACTTCCATCTATTTCCCCACCCCTGGGAAGAGTAATCAAAATAAACCCATAAGATGGACTGTGTTACCAATCTGAAACTGGTTCCAGTGTGTCTCTCCTCCTGCATGTGCATTACAGTAACGGAGGGGAAACTTAGAGAGGACATTACCTGCATTGAAGATCAGCAACGCTGCACTCCATATTTAACCAGCGAATCTTTCTTCTAACTCTACTGCCTAGGTCAAGGATTCATAGAGTTTAAGGCCAGAAGGAACTGTTGTGATCATCTAGTCTGACCTCCTGCATAACATGGGTCATAGAATTTCACCCAGTAGTTCCTGAAGATAAGGGAACTAGTCATCCCTCCTTGCACTGATCTGCTTCAAATCCACCTCCAAGCTCACAGATACGCAGCTATCTGTGACTCAGCCACTCTATACTCCAAGAATATGGAAATTACAGGATTTGAAAAGACTGTGTCGGCCTCCCCATTAATAAAACAAGGCAGTTGTTAAGGAAGTTCAACTTCAGCCTTTGCCCGTGAGGCATCATGTTCCAATTAGAGATGGGCCTGAACCCACCCTCTCCCCTTCCAGACCTGAATAACCCCAAACTTTAGATCCATACATTAAGGATCATTGGGATTCTCGAATCTGACCTCCATTGGTTTTCCTGAATTAATCCTTGCTTCAAGTCCAGTAGCTGAGTTTCAACTAGAGCAGATCTTTGAGGGAACCGCCCCCCCATCCAATCATGATTAAACAATTTCCAGTGATGGAGAACACACTCAGCCCTTGGTAAATTGTTCCAACAGTGCCCTCACTGTTAGAAAAAATGCTCCTTATTTCCAGTCATTGGATCTTGTTTCACCTCCCTGATAATGCGATTCTTTTCCCTGCATGTTATAGATAGGTGCTTATGGAGCTTGACATCCTGTTCTCTAGACACCAACAAGTATCCCGTCTTACGTTTTATCTGTTAGGACAGTGATCCATGAGCATTGAAGATCATTTGCTTCCAAGTTTTCTGTGTCTCAGAAACAGATAATGCCATTTTTGATAGCATGCTACTCCTCCTCCCTTTTTGCCCTCTCGAGCCTTCTTAAATAGATTATAACCATTGTATCTGGAAAGATAATGGAACAAATAATTAAGCAATCAATTTGCAAACATGTGGAAGATAATATGATGATAAGTAACAGTCAGCATAGATTTGTCAAGAACAAATTGTGTCAAACCAACCCGATAGCTTTCTTTGACAGGGTAACAAGCCTTGTGGACAGGGGGGAAGTGGTAGATGTGGTACATCTTGACTTTAGTAAACTTTTGATACTGTCTCGCATGACCTTCTCTTAAAAAAAAATAGGGAAATGCATCCTAGGTGGAGCTACTATAAGATGGGTGCAAAACTGGTTGGAAAGCCATTCCCAGAGAGTAGTTATCAGTGGTTCACAGTTAAGCTGGAAGGGCATATCAAGTGGGGTCCCGCAGGGTCCAGTTCTGTTCAATATATTCATCAATGATTTAGATAATAGCATACAGAGTACACTTATAAAGTTTGCGGATGATATCAAGCTGGGAGGCATTTCAAGTGTTTTGGAGGATAGGATTAAAATTCAGAATGATCTGGACAAACTGGAGAAATAGTCTGAAATAAATAGGAGGAAATTCAATGAGGACAAATGCAAAGTCCTCCACTTAGGAAGGAACAATCAGTTGCACACATAGAAAAGGGGAAATGACTGCCTAGGAAAGAGTCCTGTGGAAAGGGATCTGGGGGTCAGAGTGGATCACAAGCTAAATATGAGTCAACTGTGTAACACTGTTGCAAAAAAAGGGAACATCATTCTAGGATGTATTAGCAGGAGTGTTGTAAGCAAGACACAAGAAGTGATTCTTCCACTCTACTTCACGCTGATTAGGCCTCAACTGGAGTATTGTGTCCAGTTCTGGGAAGGATGTGGAAGAGAGAAGACTGAGGGGGGACATTATAACAGTTTTTGAGTACATAAAATGTTGTTACAAGGAGTAGGGAGAACCTTCCTAACTGTCAGGGTGGTTAAGCACTGGAATAAATTGCCTTGGGAGGTTGTGGAATCTCCATCATTGAAGATTTTTAAGAGCAGGTTAGACAAACACCTGTCAGGGGTGATCTAGATAATACTTAGTCCTGCCATGAGTGCAGGGGACTGGACTAGATGACCTCTCGAGGTCCTTTCCAGTTCTATGATGGTTCTATGTTTTTAACATTCCAATCATATGAATCTTCCCACTTCTTTCAGTGATACCAACTAGGTCAAATTTTTGCTCATAAATGAGCAAATCAAATTCCTCTTGCTTATTACCCAGGCTCCTAGCATTAGTGAATAAGCAATTAAATAATGTCTTCTCTTCACATCCTTTGGTGCCACAACTCATTTTGTTCTTGACATCTTGATTTTGTGCTAAATTAATGCTCATTTGTTCCCCCTTTTCACCCTCTCCCTTTGTTGTGAATTTAATGTTTTCCTGACTTAATCTAGCCAGTCTGTCCCCTAGAAGATTGGTTCTCCTTCTACTGTGATGGAGGCCATCCAAACTACATATCACTTTCTCTCCATAGAAGGTGGCCCAATGTTCCACAAAACCAAAACCTTCTATGTTACACCATGTACCTAGCCAGCGGTTCTCTTCCAGAATCTTCTGTCTTCTGACTTCCTTCACTCACGGGACAGGAAGAATCCTCAAGGTGATCACTTGGACATTTCTCTCCTTCAGTTCCCTTCCGAATTTTCTGGAATCGTTAATAATCTGGAAGGTATCACACGACGTGGTGTCGTTAGTGCTGATGTGCACCACACCCACCGATTTCAGAAGCCTATCCAATCTTGCAGTCACATCTCATCTCTTGGTCCTGGGAAGACAGCGCACCAGCCTTCTCTGCTCCTGCATCTTGCAAGATTGTGCTTTCCGTTCTTCTTAGCATAGAATCCCTGGCAAGGATCCTCTGTGTTCTTTGGATGGTTGGAGATCTCTTTGGCACGTTTCGTAGTACTGTAGGCTGGGCTGAGCAGACACCCTCAGGTATGTCCTATACACCTCTCCATTCCATTCGGCCAGCTGGAGCTTCAGAGACCTTGTCTGCAGTTTCCACGCAGAGAACCTAATAATGATTGGATACTTCTGGCAGTGTGGGATTCCCCCTGGTGCTCTTATCTCTGGTGATCACAGTCTGTGTATCCTTATCTGCCTCCAGGGGTGTAGAATGCCACTTGGTCATTTTACCTCTGGTGGTTATAATCCTCCTTTCTGGTTTCCACTGTCTTTGGTTTGTTGGTCGGCAGTTCCTTTCTTTCTTGAGTCTGGCGTGCTGATGCTTTCTGAACCTGGTTATCCAAGTACTCCTTAGCCTCTCCCACACTTCACAGTGTCAGTACTCCTCCTTCCAAACCACTAATCTTTTCTTCCAGCACAGCCACCAACTTGCACTTTGTACAAAGGAAGTTTCTTCAGGCAGGAAAGAAAAATGGCACATCCGTTGCAGATCACAGCCACGGTTCCATCTCTGGCCATGACGGTATTGAACATAGAACTGTACCTTGAACTAACACTTCTGACACGCACTTTCCTAACTGCCTCTAAAACTCCCTTGTTTGCCAAACTTTGTGGCTATAATTACAATGTAGGGTGCTCCACACAGGGTCTGTCTGTGGTTATGATGAGTTTCTTTGTCTCTATATTAACATCAATAAATTTAGGCTTGAAATTAGACCAAGGTTTCCAGGGCCGGCTTTAGGAACTGCGGGGCCCGATTCGGCAATGGTCCGGGTCTTCGGCGGCACTTCGGCAGCGGGTCCTACTTGCTTCGGGTCGTCCACGGCACTGAAGGACCCGCCGCCAAAATGCCGCTGAAGACCCGGACCGCCGCCGGGTGAGTAAAAATTAAAAAGTTAGGCGTTCTTCCTTAGGGCGCGGGGCCCTCTTAGGTGCGGGCGTGGCGCCCTCTTAGGCGTGGGGCCCGATTCGGGGGAATCAGCCTAAAGCCGGCCCTGAAGGTTTCTAACCGGCAGAGGAGTGAAGTTCTGGAACAGTCCTTCATGGGGAGCAGTAGGGGCAAAAAAACTAACTTGTTTTAAGACTGAGCTTGGTAAATTTATGGTGGGGATGGTGTGATGAGATTGCATACAATGGCATGTTGCCCATCTGTGACTGCTATTAGCAAATATCTCCAGTGGCTGGAGATGGGACACTAGATGGGGAGGGCTCTGAGATACTACAGAGAATTCTTACCCAGGTGTCTGGCTGGTGAGTCTTGCTCACATGTTCAGGGTCTAACTGACTGCCATATTTGGGGTCAGGAAAGAATTTCCCCCCACCCCCGGTCAGATTGACAAAGACTCTGGGCGGTTTCTCTTTACACTGCAGCGTGGGGCATGGATCCCTTGCTGGTTTGAACTAGAGCAAATGGTGGATTCTCTGTAACGTTAAGTCAGTAAATCACAAACGAGGACTTCAGTAAGCCAGTCAGAGTTTATGGGCCTACTACAGGAGTGAGTTCTGTGGCCTGTGATGTGCAGGAGGTCAGACTAGATGATCATGATGGTCCCTTCTGCCCTTAAAGTCTACGAGTGACTTTTTTCCAGAGTCTGACCTTTCCACTGAACTGTTGGGAGCAGCTTCTAGATCGTATCGAGTTACAGACCTGAAGCCAAGAGGGATGTACTCGTTTTCAATAAGGCCACTCTTCGGACAGACGGAGGGGCCAGAGGCGGCGCTTACTGAGCAGATTGGTATGAGAAACGGAGTCTTGTGCTGCAATTCCTGCTGATGTCTTTGCTGTCACCACTAGCTCATGAGATGGTGCTTGGCATGGCATGTTCCCATGCAATCCCGATGCCTTTCGGGGCTAGTGGTGTTCTTACTATGACCTAGTTACGCAATGGATGCAGTTCCCCTCCTTTGTTTGCTTTTTACAGTGGGATCTCGAGGGAATCCTTCCACTCCTGCTCCTACCATTACTTCTTTACTGCCTGCCACTACGAGGCCCCGGTCCGTGGGCTCTAGCCATGCAAGGGCCACTCCTCTTCCATCAGCCACCACCATGACATTACAAATGACCCCAGCAACCACAGTTGTGACAACTAAAGCGTCGCCACCATTGACCACCCTCTCTGGGCCAAGTGAGTTTGAATCCACACGGGATTCAGTGCTGATGAATTGGTGCGTTATAACCAGCGTACCTCTTGGATGCTGTGGTCTCCTCTGATCTCACGAGCTAAAACTGGGGTGGGCTGGGTGAATACTTGGAGGGAAAACTGCAGATCAAAAACAGGTGCGCAGGAGGCATGTTGGCAATCATAGAATGATAGAATTGTAGGACTGCCAAGGGCCTTGAGAGGTCTTCTAGTCCAGTCCCCTGAACTCATGGCAAGACTAAGTTTTATCTAGAACAGCCCTGACAGGTGTTTGTCCAACCTGCTCTTAAAAACCTCTAATGATGGAGATTCCACAACCTCCCTGGGCAATTTATTCCAGTGCTTAACCACCCTGACAGTTAGGAAATTTTCCCTAATATCGAACCTAAACCACCCTTGCTACAATTTAAGCCCATTGCTTCTTGTCCCATCCTTGGAGATTAAGAAGAACAATTCTTCTCCCTCCTCCTTGTTACAACCTTTTATGTACTTTAAAACTGTTATCATGCCCCCCCGTCCCCCAGTCTTCTCTTCTCCAGACTAAACAAACCCAATTTTTTCACTCTTCCCTCATAGGTCATGTTTTCTAGACCTTTAATCATTTTTGTTGCTCTTTTCTGGACTTTCTCCAATTTGTCCACATCTTTCCTGAAATGTGGCACCCAGAACTGGACACAGTACTCCAGCTGAGGCGTAAGCAGTGCAGTCCAGTAGGTGGAGCACTTTCCTCTCTGTCAGCAGGTGAAAGAGCCCAGAGATGTTAGATAATCACACCTGTTATAATCGTAATAATACTGAGACCACTGCTCTGAAACAGATTGATGAACCATTGTGTCTGACGTCCTGTCTATGATGGTGGCCAATGTCTAATACATAAAGAGGAGGCATAAAATGCATGTAAGAGAATTGAGGTGTGCAGCAGCATCCCATGGGGGTGAATGTATTGTATCATCTTCACTCAACACACCCTTGAAACCACAAGGCTTGATTGTATCTTGGACTGTTCTCCCATAAAGAAGAATAGTCCAGCCTTTTATGACAAATCCTGTCCAGTATGAGACAGATTGGAGACCCATGGCCTCCCTGTCCGTGATTTACGGACATTCTACCTTCGCTTCACAGTCTGTGGCAAGTTCAAAGCGGACATCGCGTTCCTGGTGGACGAGTCTTCAAGCATTGGCCAGAGCAATTTCAATAAAGTGAAGGACTTCCTCTTCCGGATCGTCTCCTATTTCCCCAGAATTGGGCCTGAGGGAACACAGGCAAGAAACCATTATTCTATCTATCTATCTATCTATTGTAGGTACCTTTCTTCATTCTCACAACACCCCTGTGAGTTAAGGGAATGCAGGCTCTCCACTGTGAATCTTAGAGAGGCTAAATGGCTTGCCTGAGGTTACACAGGAAGTCTGTGGCAGAGAAGGTAATTGAACCTACCTCTCCTAAGCCTGAGACTAGCATCCTAACCATTGGGCCAGCCTTCCTCTTGGTCCCCAGCTGGACATTCCCTGTTTTATGCCATTTTCTAGGAGTTTCCCCAAGCCCAACCCTCACTAAAAAAGACGATCTCAGCGCTATTGAAACCTTGTGTTTCAATGTGCTCACTTTGGGCCTAATCCAGCGCCCAGTGAAGTCAACGGAAAGACTCCTACTGGCTTCCATAGGCTTTGGTATAGGTCCTTTGTTGGTAATGATCCACTTTGCACATGTGATATCTGAATTGGACCTTTAGGCTAAGGCTCCATGTTACTTTCTTTCATTTGACTAAGAAAGGTGGAGTTCCATGTTCTCATTGACTGCAGACCATTAATAGCATCCCCCTCCCGTGATCTATGCCTTTTACTCGTGTGCTTATATCCATGACCCATGCTCCCTTGCTCCATCCTGCCACCTTTATCGGCCTCACGTGCTCTTTGGCAGGTTGCTGTAGCTCAGTACAGCGAAGAGCCCAGGACTGAATTCCACTTTAACCAGCACAGGGATCGGAATGGAGTTCTCAAAGCCCTCAAGGAGCTGCAGTACACTGGAGGCAATACAAAGACAGGTGCGTACCGTGTATGCATGTTAGTGTTTGCAGGACGTATACTTTACAGCTAGAAATATGGGCCCAAGTCACCAAGTCTTGATCTGGATTTGGCTCTCAACTTCCCCAGCAGTCAGGTGGTGTGGTTTTGGTTTAGAGTTTTGAATCGGTCTGTTATAGAGGTTGGTTGGTTGCTTGTGAAGTTAAGATCTAAACGTCTTTAAAATGTGGATTGGGATGGTCTAGAGTTTTGGTTTGGACCCATTTTTAATAATAGCCTGGCCATGTATTCTGGTTCTTTCATCAGCGTCCTAGTTTTTCATCTGACCTTCTCTTTATAATTTTATATCCCCTCACCCTAATGTTTGTACCTAACATGGAGCCCTAACCGTAAGGTTACCTACCTACTGGGAATATTTTTAAGAGTGCTTTTAACTCTAAGACATAGCCTTGATCCTAACTCTAATCCTACTAGTCTTACATGCAAGAATTTGCAGGGTTGAGTTTTATGGTTCAGCGCTAGATTCTATTTCCTTGGGATTTATTTAGATCACAGGGTCTGTGTCCTTTGGATGCACATCTATAACTCTCAGTAACATTACAGATGTGTGCACATTAGGTCGGACTTTCAGAAGATCTTTGCGCTGACCTCGCTCTGCTCCCACTGAAGTCAAGGGGGTTTTTACCATTGACTTCAAGGGAAAGAGAGAGAGAGGCCAATTCAGTGTGTTTTGGGAAACCCCTCCTGTTGGGGATAAAATTATCTACACATCCCTCGCCTCTGTTGGGAGCATCAAGGCTAGAAAAGGAGCAACTGACCCAAAATATTTCATGTTTTATAAAAGAAATCCCCCAAACCTTCAGCCATCTGCAGATGCACTGTCTGTAACTACAGGCATGCTGGAGAAGGGTTAGCCATTTAGCTAGTCCGGTCAGACAACATAATTAGGTTTTACCTGGGTTCCTATTGCAAGGACTCCGAAATACACACACCAGAGCTTTAAAATGGGAGAAGTTAGCCCTCATTTTACCCTTTCTAAGCTGGTCACCTAAATAGCTGCCCCTGTCTTGGAGGAGCAAGTTAACTAGGATAGAAATTAGAGGAAGGTTTCACACCATCAGACCAGGGGGAGGTTCTGGAGCAGCCTCTTTATAAGAGTAGCAGGGGGCAAACAACCTACCTAGTTTTAAAAGGGCACCTGATAAATTTATGAATGGAAGTATGTGACAGGGTTACCTGGACTCAATGGCCTAGGAAGTCTCTTCCAGTCTTGACTCCTATGTTCCTAAAGTGGCTCTGGCACTGATGAGTGTCTCTTAATGTGGCCAGCCTGTACATTTTCTAACATGTCCTTTTTTCCACGTGCAAACTGGATCAGACGGACTCAGACCCACAGCAGTACTATTCAGACACCTGGCATCGCGGGAGCTAGGCGTGACTGGTGTGGAGAAAGTAAATAAGGAAGTGTTATTTACTCCTTCTCATAACACACGAACTAGGGGTCACCAAATGAAATTAATAGGCGGCAAGTTTAAAATAAATAAAAGGAAGTATTTCTTCACACGACGCACAGTCAACCTGTGGAACTCTTTGGCAGAGGATGTTGTGAAGGCCAAGACTATAACAGTGTTCAAAAAACTAGATAAGTTCATGGAGGATAGGTCCATCAATGGCTATTAGCCAGGATGGTCAGGGATGGTGTCCCTAGCCTGTTTGCCAGAAGTTGGGAATGGGCAACAGGGGATAGATCACTTGATGATTACCTGTTCTGTTCATTCCCTCTGGGGCACCTGCCATTGGTTACAGTCAGAAGACAGGAGACTGAGTTAGATGGACCTTTGGTCTGACCCAGTATGGCCGTTCTTATGTTCTAGGCTGAGTAGCTTTCTGCTTTCCCCCAGGTCGTGGCTTAGGCTATGCGCTAAAGGAGTTATTTCAGTCCTCCAAAGGGATGAGACCAACTGTGCCTCGCACGCTGGTGCTAGTGACTGATGGACAGTCCCAGGATGATGTGTTGCCACCAGCCAGAGTGGTGCATGCATTAGGTAGGGATCTTTGGGTGTGTTTTCTTGAAGGCCCCAATCCTCCTCCCAGCAAAGTAGATGATAAAACTCCCGTGAGTTTCAATTGTGCTGGATTGGGTCCTAATATAGTTTATTGTTGGCTTCCTGGGCTCTTATCTCTCCTTCCTTCACTAAAAGTGTGGGTGTGCCCCTGGCCAGACATACTGAGCCCAATACACCAGGGATGAGCTTGGCCTAATGTTTTTAGATGAAGAATCTGACCTGCACTGGATTTAATGCTCTGATGGCTGACAGCTCTAGAGACTAGGGTGGCCAGGTGCCTGGTTTTCAACCAGAACGTCTGGTTGAAAAGGGGACCTGATGGTGTCCAGTCAAATCTACTGCGTTGGGCGGCTGCAGCACTCAGCCCTGGCTCCGCGCAGAGGTGGGGAAGAGCAGTGAGCGACAGGGGGAGGAGGAAAGAGGAGCGAACAGGGGTGGGGTCTCAGGGGGAAGGGGCGGGGCAGATGCAGGGCCTTGGGGGAAGAAGTGGGGTGGAGGAGGTTCTGGCACGCCTGCTGGAGTGTCCAGTTTTAAATATTACAAAGTTGACAACAGTATGGGAAACTGATGTCCACATTTTGTCCCAGGCAATGGCAGTGCCAGCTTCTCCCATGCACTGCCCCATGAATGTATCTCAGTACTGCCCAGAGACCAGCTCTGGAGTGGGAGGGGAGTCTGATCTCACTATCCATTCGAGATAATCCGATGAGGGTTTCTCTGCTCCCCTGCTGAGGTCCGTAATGGACTTTCCGCGGGGTGGGCTGAGAACAGCACCGCCTGATGGGCTTGTCACTCCCCTCTGAACGCTGTGTTGAACTAGTTTGGAGTCTCTGTCCAATCTCTAAACAACAAGAGTTCGTGTAACTGTCCTGTGCCCTTGCCAGCAGTCTCAATGGAGAAGCCTAAAGGTGGAGACTATGAGCTGGGAATGCCTTTGTCAGAGCAAATCCCATACCCCCAACTCCCCCAAGTGACAAAGAGGAAACAGATGCCTTAGGGGTTAAGAGTTGACTCCCCACCCCAGTGTGAGCAATTTCTAGTGAATCAAGACAAGCTGTGGCCGGGAGCTGAGCCCGGCTTTACTCTGCGGTTGAGAATTTCCAAGCTGATGGGTGGATTTAACCCCACAACTCCCATTAATCAGCGTCAATGGGCACTGTGGGGTGAAACCCCCTAGCCAGTTTGGAAGATCTCTGCCCGTATGTCTGTCTAATGAGGGAGCCGTTTGTTTCAGGAATCCGTGTCATCGCCGTGGGGGTCTCCAGAGCTGACCCCCAAGAACTGAACAGCATCTTGTTACACCGCAACCTGCAGAATGTTTTCTACATCAGCACCTTTGAGGACTTTCCCCACATCATCCAGGAGGTGATAGAAACCATTTGTTCTGACTTGCCGCATTCAGGAGCCCAACCGCAGCCCGGGGAGGTGAGCTGCTTTCTCCTACACTCTTTCCATGTCTATCTATTTCCTACAGAGAGCTTTGGAGAGAACTCAGCTCACTTCCCAGAGGTCATTTCTGGCAGCCTGTGATCGTGCTCCTACCCTGCATTCTGGTTCAAAGCAAACCTAAAAAGTTAAGAATCGTAGGACTGGCAGGGACTTCGAGAGGTCATCTAGTCCGGTCCCCCAGGCTTATGGCAAGACTAAGTATTATAAACGAGGCTTTGGGCCTCAGTCTGATCTCACTTATCATCCTCTGCTGTCATCTGGCAGTCATGCCATCCAAGACAGCAATGTAAAACAGGCACAGATGAAATCAGAATCTGGCCTTTTCCTGGTTATCCGTTAAGTCAGTGGCATATCCATTACAGGGTGAAAAAACACTTGAGTGAATTGCCAATGCACAGTCGTCTCCCGGTAACAGTTGTCTGCTCAATCTGCCCCTGGCAATGTGCTATCAGTAGTTTGTAACCAACCGGGTCCTTAGACACCCATAATCCTCTTTGATAAGACAAAGATCTAACTCAAACTACATGTTGTAGGTTGCTAGACAGGATATGATCAAACTGCAGCAGGTTGGTGGCCTGGAGAACAACTCATCAGTCCATGAGCCAGCTTCTGCTGATCCAGAAATCCAAAGACCAGAGGGGCCATGCAATCCCAGGTGCTCAAAGGTAAGAAGAGCGATAGAAGCTCAGTAGGGTGTGCTTGGGGGAGTATATTGCATGAGACACGTGCAGTGAGCGCACTCATTAGTTTGGGGTTGATCCCCTACCACCTTGCTCCAGTTTTATGCCGGTGTAACTGCGCTGTCTTGAATGGAATTACATCAGCACGAAATAGGAGCAGTGGCCAATCAAGGCTCGTTACCTCTGGAGACATGGGCGCAAGCCGTGGCTTAGGTCACCAGTCGTCCACATATGGAGATCTCATGCTCAAATCTGTCATTTGTGCACTCCACAAACACGCAGCATCTCGTTGCATGAGGAGCAACCTGTGACCTCTCATCATTATTATCAACTTGTTTCTCATGGGCATTGCAGGTGAATTCATAGATTTTAAGGCCAAAAGAGACCATTATGACCATCTAGTCTGCTCTCCTGCATAACACAGGCCAGGGAACCTCACCCTGTAACTTCTGCATCAAGCCCATAACTTCTGTTTGAGCTATAGCATCTAATTTAGAAAGACCTCCAGTCTTGGTTTAAAGACTGCAAGTGACAAAGAATTCACCATGTCCTCAGGCAAGTTGTTCCAATGGTTAATGACCTTCCCTGTTAAAAATGTGCTGTGAGATTTTAGGAGGATTTGAATGCCAAGCAGGAGATGGTCTGTTGCATTTATTTAATAGTTTCCTATGAGCCATTGCCTTTCTCTCTGTTAAAAATAAAGCATCAGTAGGTTCTTGCCTGCATTGGGAAGCATCTGTAGCCAACCTCTGACCCAACATAAAGGCCGGGAGAGAGGAGGAGCAACTGTAACAGTTGACCATGCTAACCTACTGGATGGGATGGGAAGCCATTTCTTGCCAGTTCTGCAATAAGAGTAGGGTGACCAGATGTCCCGATTTTATAGGGACAGTCCCGATTTGGGGGGCTTTTTCTTATATAGGCTCCTATTACTCCCCACCCCCTGTCCTGATTTTTCACACTTGCTGTCTGGTCACCCTAAATAAGAGGCGGGGGGAGGAAGTGCAATTATTTTTCTTCCTGTTTAATCTGTTGCCATCACAGCTTCTATTCTTATTCTGTTACAGGCTCTTAAAGGAGAGAAGGTAAATATTCTAGCCAGCTGTGCGATTTCACTCTTCAACGGGAACACACAAGCCTTGGCATTTACGTGCTACGCTGGAGGGGACCAGAGAAATACCCAAGACAGAGACTGTAGATAGGCCTCTGGCTAGAGCCATGAAACAGCCAGGAGGAGACTGTTGCCTACATTGGGCTCTGGATGAGAGATCTCTCCAAGTCAAAATAGTAACCGCAGGGCAGGGCTCAGTGTACGAGGCCTGAACCCCTTGAGTCACCTTGCAACAGGCTGACGTACCAAATATCTGGGCATTAATCTGGATAACTCAGAACAGGAGAGGTGTGTTTGGATTACGAGGGTTGGGTTGGGAGCTCACCTCCATCTGAGGTCAAATTAGGGACTGTATTTCTAGATCCAAAATCCTGGATCCAAACACTGCTACTCTCTGCTGGACACTGCGACCAATCCATTGCTACAAGCACATACTCTTTGGCTTTGTCTAGATGAAGATAAAAGATATTTTTAAAAAATGGGATAGCCAATGCATTTTAAAACCCTGCTGTAAATAGGACAAGTTGTATGTTAGCTGATAGGGGTGAACCCTATGGGATTAGAAATGTGCTTCTTGGATTAACAGTAGGGGGAGATAATACGGTCAAATAGTTCCAAGCTATGAAGCTGTTCCATATAGAGGAAGGGTAGTTCAGTGGCTAGTGTCTAGGAGACACAGGTTTAATTCCCAGCTATGCCACAGATTCCCTTTGAGGCTATGTCTACACTGCAGCTGGGAGCATTGCTTCCCAGTGCGCGCCGATGGATTTGAGTTAGCGTGCTACAAGGACAGCGTCGGTGGGCTAGATTCCCAGGCCAGAAGGGACCATTGTGATCATCTAGTCTGACCTCCTGTAGAACAAAAGAATTCCTGGAGGAGAATATCTGTTGGAAAAGCATCCAGACTTGAGTTAAAAATGGTCCGTGATGGAGAAGCCACCACAACCCAATGGTTAGCTACTCTCACCGTTACAGATTTACGCCTTATTTCCAGTCTAAAATGAGCACTCCCTGTGGTTCTGGATCACACCTTTTACTACTCTATCAGCCTGGATTCCTCCCTTACTAGAATGTGCGAGTAGGCCAGGCTCCAAAGCAGCGGTGAAAGGGTTAACAGGCTTGTACTCACGTGGTCAGTGCCTGACGGAAATTATGGACCTTCTGGGTCACTAGGTTGAACTCAGCCTCTCTCTCTACCTAGACCAGGCATAGCAAGGGTGGCAGCTCAGCTCACACACCCTCCCGGGCCCACTGGCTACACACTCAGGTGGGTAGCCTGTGCTCCCCTTATCTCATTGCTGGCTTTAGCATGCTAGCTCAATCAGAGCTGACACATCCGCAGTGTAAACCTGGCTGTCGTCTCTCTGGGCCTCAGATCCCATCTGTACAAGGGGATCCCAGCACTACCCGACACCCTGATCCCACACCAGGTTTTGCCACTATCTTCAGGATCAAGCCCTTAGCAGTCCCACCCATCTAATCAGAACCCAATTGCTTGGGTCAATTAAAAGCAGACTAGAGAAAGCAGGGAGAGAACGATTCTGGGCTGGGAGCAGGAAGGGGGCTCTTTTTTATTTCATCTCTGCCAAATTCTGTTCTCAGTGATGTAACCTAGAGGCTGCAGTCTCACTGTGCGAGGTGCTGTACAAACACATACCAAAGAGAGGGCCCCTACCTAGAGAGCTCGCCATCTTGTTGCACCTGTGCAGCTGAGAACAGGATCTGATTGTGACATAGACATGTAATCCATGGAGTATTTCCCAGGCCCTGTAACTGAGCGGACCCCTTCCCCGCCCCAGTTTAAGCTCTCTCCACCCTGTTCTGCAGCGCCGCCTTGTGTGACTCTAGTTCTGTTTCCTTGTCGTGCAGGGCGAGAGAGGCCCACCTGGAGAATTGGTGAGTACGATCAGAGAAGATCCTCCACGTGAACCAGGAAATACATTGTCCCAATGGCTTGAGGCCTTGGACAGGCCCCCTGGGACAGGGGGAAATATTAGCAAAGCATAACATCAAAAAGGAGGCTAACGGGCCTGGGGTCTGGATGTAGCCTCTGGGGAGTGAAGTTCACCCTTCTGCAGAGGGTTGGATTTCTAAAGGATCCAATAACTCTCTCCACCTCTTAAGAGGCATTGTTGTAAATGGCTGAGCAGTGGGCTAAACTGCCCTCCCAGGGCTCTCTTGGGTGGGTTGATCTGTGTTTCTTTGGCGGGTAATAACGTCCTGAATTTTTTCCCCATTTTTTTCCTTTTCAAGAGCTTCACCGGTTTGCAGACTGGAGGCAGTTACGATCCATACAGCTTTGCTGTGAAGGGAGAGAAGGGAGAGAGGGTGAGTTTCACAGCAGGAGTGATGCACTGGATTAATTAGCACATGGCTAGGTAATTAATAGTTACAAAAGGCTGCCCCAGCACATGGTGCATTTAATGTGCCCTGTTCCCTGCTGGCTTTGAAAATCAAACAGGACTGAAGGTGTGTGTGAGAGAGGGAGAGGGAGACATGCATGGGCATGACACTTTATTTTTCCGTTTCTCAGAGATGATTCTCCCAGGGAAGAGAAAGGGGAGACCAGAAACTGATGTCTCGTGAATAGGGGAGAAGACATTATATCCCATGGGCCACAGCTTCCTGCGTGGCTGAGCAGGACTGGGCTGTTGAGGTCAAGGCCTGGGCATTGTTGAACCCAAGAGACAAAACAACCCAGAAGGAAAACGCTGAATGAGTCCCACCAGGCTGTTTGGTTGCTAGCTCAGGGCTCCTGTGTCCCAGAACATGAGGAATCCACAAGGAATTAGGGATGGATAATCCCAGCAGAATTCAGGCCTTTGCAAACCCCGTCAAGCCAATTTTCGAGTTCACAAAACTTGTCTGGGCTGGGAAATCCCATGTGTTTATGGCTGTTTTTCCCCCAGAGGGCATCCAACCGCTGATAAAACACTGATGTGTTTTTCTAGGGAAAGGGAAGCCAGTGCTGTTAGAACATCCTCTCCCACCACTGCCCAAAAAAGTGTTGACCAGAGTTATTGGAGGCTTGCAACACCACCCAAGCTATGCCCCTTTCTCTGACCTTGTTACTTTCCTTGTATTTAGGGGCTCCCTGGGAAAGATGGAATTCCCGGACTGCCAGGTCGACCTGGGCGAGTGGGCCCCCCTGGCTCCCCTGGGCTGATGGTAAATATCTGGATTAATGAGCACTGTCAACGCTGGGATTAATAAAGGGAGGAAAACCCCTTTTCCAGTGTTTGAACATCTATTTTTCTCTCCCTCAATTTACAGGGGCACCCTGGTATCCAAGGCGATCTCGTAAGTATTCCGAACCAGCAAGGTCTCAGAAACTCAGAAACCCAAATAACCCTCACTGGATCCTGCACCGTGCGGGCGTGGACGGTTGCACGGGCAACGGCCAAGTCAGTCATGCTGAGCCAGTCGGGGAGCCCCAGGGAACCCGATTTTGCATTTATTGGGTACTGCCAGGGCCAAATGGCTCCTGCCCTGCAGCCAAAACAAGGCCAGTGAGAGACGCATACAGCCAGGGCCGGCTCCAGGCACCAGCCTACCAAGCATGTGCTTGGGGCGGCACCTGGAGGGGGGCGGTGCTCACCCAGGGAGAGCGGAGCCGCAGCGGGCTCGCTGCCCTCCCCCCGGTGCTCTGGCCGGTCGGGGGGCGGGGGGCGGCGGGAGGCTTTTTTGCCTGGGGCGGCAAAAAAGCCAGAGCCGGCCCTGCATACAGCCAAGTGCCTCATCAGGTTGAGCAGGATCGCGCCTGAGGCCGTGTCCATCTTTCTGTCCCTAGGGAGCATTGCACAGACTTTCCACCACTCAGTGCAGAGGGCAATGCCTGTGACTTAGCCTTACCTGCACTGACATGTAGCGTCTGCTCACACTCGCTGGAGCTCAGTGATTGTGATAACACATTGGCTAAGTGCTTGCGATAATGTCTCCTGCTAGTGGCTGACTCCAGGGAGGATAACAGCCAACTACTGGAGCTCTCCCTTTGGCTCCCTTCAGATCCCCAGCCCAAGCCCTGCTGTGTAAGTCTAGTGCATGGAATTGGGATAAAGCTACATTTATTTCACTCTGATACTTTTTCTTTTTCTGCGCGAGGCATTTTCCCAGTGATTGTCATCACAGGAGGCCCAGTCACAGAAACCACCATTGCAAACGAACACCCACCTGACTCCATTCAGAGGGGTCATGTTGTCCCTGTAGAGTGTGTATACAATAACCCACCACCCATCATAGGTCATGAGTGGGGACTGAACATGTGAGCTACAATGCTAAGAGCGTGGCTTTCGACTGCTTGAGCAAAAGGAGTAACGTCAGTAGCTGGTAACAGTAGTAAGCTCTTATCTTATGTGCATCAGCCACTAGAGGGAGACATGTAATACACTAAATTAGTGGGTACGTGACTCCTATTGATGTTGGTACCACAAAGGAAGGAACCCTACCCATTGGAACCTGTTTAAGTTATCACTCAGGGGGCCAACAAAAATTTGTCATCTAGTGGAGATGGGTTTATAGTTTAGGATCCAACAGAATGGAACTGACGGCCTTGGGTTTATAAGTGATCACCTCACCTAAGGGATTGCAGGTTGGCAATGATTGTGAGCCAGTTTCTCTCTGTTGTTTAACTCTGCATGATTTATTTTAAATTCCAGGGACCTCCTGGATACCCAGGGCCAACGGGGCCAAAAGGAGACAGAGTGAGTTTACTTTACATGTTTCAATAGAAAAAGCCATTGTAATGCACTGCCCTCCTATTAAGGTGTGTATATATCACTGCCCTCTACTGGATAGAATCAGAACTTCTGAAGTGCATGTCACTGGCCCTATACGGCTGGCAGCTGATGGAGATTCTCCACCACCTCAAGGGTTAGGGTCCTGTACACTAGGAACAAGAGGTCCGAGTACCATCTCTGCTGAGGCTGTGAAATTCCCAGTGAACATGGTGTGCAGCCATAATGTCAGCAGTGAGCTGCTGTCAATGGTAAGGGAAGCATGGCTGTCCAGGAGGTACAATCTATAAAATGAATGGAACCAGACGCAGTGTAACATTGGGGAAGGTCAGTTGTCTTGGTACCCACGCACAGCTCCCGGTGTGCATTGTATGCGGGCATTGGAGGGCAAGGCAGACCTCCTGGCAGGTTTGTAAAACTGATTCAGATAAATCCCACAGAGGCTTTAGACGCTTTGTGTCCAAGCTGAGTCTTTAGTGAAGGTTAAATCCTACCAGAGTCAATGGGAGAGGACTGCACAGGCATTAATACAAATCCCTGATTAATCTCACTCGGCTCAATAATTTCACAAGGAATCTAGCACTCTGCTTAATGGGTCGGTCTGCAGTTTTTTGACATCACCTGTCAACCGTAGAATCGTAGGACTAGAAGGACCTCGAAACGTCTTTTTGTCCAGTCCCGACTCATGGCAGGACTAAGTATTATCTAGTCCAGGGGTCAGCAACCTTTGGCACCTGGCTCCTCAGGGTAAAGCCGCTGGCAGGCCGGGACGGTTTGTTTATCTGGAGCATCCACAGGCACGGAGCCCCTCAGCTCCCACTGGCTGCGGTTCGCTGTTCCTGGCCCATGGGAGCTGCGAGAAGCGGCGTGGGCCGAGGGATGTGCTAGCCACTGCTTCCCACAGCTCCCATTGGCCAGGAACAGCGAACCGTGGCCAGTGGGAGCTGCAGGGCTCCGTGCCTGCAGACACTCCAGATAAACAAACCGGCCCGGCCCGCCAGTGGCTTTACTCTGACAAGCCGGGTGCCAAAGTTTGCCGACCCCTGATCTAGTCCATCCCTCACAGGTGTTTGTCTAACCTGCTCTTAAAAATCTCCAATGATGGAGATTCCACCACCTCCCTAGGCAATTTATTCTAGTGCTTAACTACCCTGACTGTTAGGAAGTTTTTCCTAATGTCCAACCTAAACCTCCCTTGCTGCAATTTAAGCCCATTGCTTCTTGTCCTATCCTCAGAGGTTAAGGAGAACAATTTGTCTCCCTCATCCTTGGTAGCTTGCAGTAGCCCCCTACCATGACATCACTCTTGTTTTTTACCTCTTTTATCCTTACCCAGAGACTTTCAACAAGTCTGTCTCCTATTTTCATCTCAACCTCAGTCCAAGTGTGTACATTTTTTATATATAAGGCAACACCTCCTCCCTTTTTTCCCTGCCTGTCCTTCCTGAGCAAGCTGTACCCTTCTATACCAATATCTCAGTCATGTGTATTTTCCCACCAGGTCTCTGTGATGCCAATTATGTCATAGTTGTGTTTATGAACTAGCATTTCTGGTTCTTCCTGCTTATTCCCCATCTTCTCACATTCGTATACAGACATCTCACTTACGGAATTGATTTCCCCCTATGGTCTCTCGTCTCTCCCTTATCCCTGCTATAATGGCCCATGCTCTAGCCAGATTATAACCCTTCTTCCAGATCTCCATGCTTTTGACTTACCTGTGTGCTTTTGTCTCCTGCCCCCATTAAACCTAGTTTAAAGCCCTTGTTGGAGAATAACAGAGTTCTCACTTTTTGTTTGGGTACAGCAAGTCAGATACTTTATTTTCTCTCTATCAATTGCATAGAGGGAGAGAGCTAAACAGGTCTCTCAACAGGTAAACAATTACAGCAAGCATTTATACCTTTTGTTGCAGACAATAATGAGCAACAGCTGCATTTTGTTTATACATAGGTCATTCTGATATCTTGTTTTGCTCACTAATGTAGACTCTTAGTCTACATTCCATATTATCTACACATTATCTACACAAGGTCGCAACAACTTCTCACACAGTTCTTTCCCACTTGCCTCACACATTCCTCGCTTCTACAAATCTCGCGTTATTAGGGTTACAGTTAGCCTGACTCTTGCTAACAAACTGTCATGCATTGCAATCCCCTTCCTGTCAGTTCTTTCTCTGCTTCCACAACCTCCTCCCTAGGTTAGCCAGTCTGTATCCAATAAAGACTGTATCCAGTCTGTCAATGAAGCTGTTTGCATCAGCCTTGTCCTTTGGGGATGATTGTTTATATGCCTGCCTGCCTATCTAACAGCCTCTGGAGCAATAGAGTAACTGACTGAAAAGCGAGGAAGTCGGGACCAGCTCCTCTGCTGGCACGAATGGGTGAAGTTCCATTGAAGTCAATGGAACCCTGAGGACCTACCCCAGCTGGGAATCTGGCCCTACGGGTTGCAGTGTGTATTGTGTACAGAGCAAGTTCTCAGGGTTTCCTTGGATGGAAATCTGAGCGGAAAAGCTTCCTGACGCCCCAGTCAGTTGCTGAGTGTGCTGCTTCCTGTTGTGCAGGGGGAACCGGGCTACGTGCTGGGAGGGGTGGAAGTGATCCCTGGCCGAAACGGACAACCAGGCTCTCCTGTGAGTAAACACATGACATCTGGTATAACCCACCTCCCTTCTGCTGGCGCTGTCTCCAAATGGTGTATGGTCACCATAGATGGCACAAGCGGGGCTGCCAGGCCTTTAGTATTATCTGTAGTCTAATAGCGGCCAAAGGGTCTCTGTGTTAGGATTGTGCTAGTCACTGTACATGCATATATAGCACAAGACAGACCCTACACCAGGTAGCTTAGGATCAAAATAGGTGCACTGAGGGAGAAAGGGATGCAACATACGAGCCGGCTAGGTCAGTGCTTTCCTTTCCCTGGGAGTCTCCTGTACAGGTGCTGGTGACTTGGGAGGCAGCGCTCTTTCCTTTGAGTCAGCACTAGAGGGCACTGTGCTGCTGGATGTGGACCTGGCCACGTGTGGGTGTTAAGGCTCTCATGGGGCATTGTGTAAGATTAGGGTTGTTAACCCCCACAGCGTGATGAAGTACAGTTTGGCTAACTGCTCTCTGGCTTCTTAAAGTCCCCCCCTTGTCATTTCAATGAGATACAAAATCCTCCTTCCTGTCCTGGCCTGAGCTGCTGGCAGTGTTATTGTGTGCTATTAACCAGCTGCTGCCTTTCACCCCAGAGGTGGCAGCATTTCAGTGCTGGGTGCATGGATCTCAACGTATGTTCTAAATAATCTTATGCCCGCTCAGTGTTTCCTGCTGTACCCTCATCCTCTCTTTACACTGCAGCCATCCTCTGTCCTCTTGAGAGCAGGGTTATGGATTTCTTTCCTTCAGTGTCTCTCCATGCAGCTCAGTGATTGGCCAGAGAGGTCCCCACTGAGTGACACGGGGCACTTACCCTAGGCTCATATGCTGCTCAGAGTGGGAGTAAAGGTCACTGGGGTAGAGCTTGTGTCTCTCAAATGTTTGGCTTGAATCATTTCAGGGGCAGAAAGGGCAGCCGGGAGTTCCTGGAGCAGCAGGACCGCCAGGGCCACAGGGACCGCCTGGGATGTCTGTGAAGGTGTGTGTGACTGTGAACTAGCCATTCGTCTGCATTGCTACGCTATAGACACCTGGGGGTGTGTGCTCAATGTGGGATAACTAGGGGGGTTACCCTTGTCAAGGCAGGGGGAATCCACATTCTGTCACACAGCGAGGGGTCAGGCCTCCTAGACAT